AATACAAAACGATTCGATACGATTCGATACAGTGTAGGAACGATACATTTTGATATGTTTCGATACGATTCTACGGTTAACATTTGTTGATGTAGACATTACATTATAAAATAAAGAAGCCAATTCTATAAAAGTCACATTCTTACAGTATTTTCAAATTTGTAAAAGACCACATCCCCAAGCATTGTTGCTGTATGGCACTGGCAAAAATAAAATAAAAAGACAAACAACAACAAAATCACATGTCAAATGTATTTATTTTTAGACATGGACCAAAAAAAGACTTGCTGAATGAACATCATTTTGTTGGATGGGATCAATATAAAAATGAGGAAAAGTTTTAAACTTTAAGTGAAGTGAACTTTAAGTAAAATTTAAGTGTTTTAAACCTACTTGTTGTGTTGTTTTTATTGTATTGTCTGTGTTTTTGTATGTATCTTATATGGAGTTGAGTCTGGAATAAAGTTTATCATAACGCTGTACAATATAAACATAAAGCAGAATAAAATAACGTGCAATGTAGGGGCAGAATCTGACATCTCCTGTTATTAGTTGATACCATGGACTGTGATGACTAGCAGATTATCACTGACAGCATGTCAGACTATTTCTCTGTGTTTGCTACACTCTGTGTTTGTCATTTATAAAAAGATAAATCACTTTTCTATAATACATCAATGATATTTCAATGGAATAAATTACTTATCGACTTATTCATACTTCAAAAACAGCATCAATAAGTGATTAACATAGGGGGGATCAAAATAAAATAAATAAATAAAATAAAAACCAACCAGCCACCCTCCTCCCCTGACAAGTAAAGAACAGTCCCTTCATAAGTAAAGAACAGTCCCTAAAGTGCGGTGAGGTTTGTTTCTCCTCTGACACGTCACATACCTGTGTGCTGCCACGGCTTGGCTGTTCAGGTATTTCTGGGCAGTCATGACACCGATGATGAATCCTTGGACCTGGAGCCGGGCTTCTCGGTCGCCAGTAAGCCATTATCTTGCGCCGCGGAGCACTATGGCTGCCATATTTGACAGGAATACGTATTTCTGTCTGTGTCTGTGACCCCTCGTTCAACCCATAACCGGCAGGATTCGCCTTTTGTTTCTGCTGTGGCTTGGCTACTCCCTGGTTTATCCAACCAGCATTAGCTTCTGTTCCTCATCTCCACCGGTCAAGCTGGCGCTGATGTTTACATCCATTATCGTTGTCAGTAATGCCTGCTACGGAGCATGCCGCCGGCTCTCGCGTTTCCTGTTATAATTTTAGTCCTTACAATTACAGTCTGTCTCAATTTATAAGTGTGTGTGTGTGTTTATTGTGTGCATTATTTTTGTATGAAAAGTGCTATATAAATAAAGTTTGATTGATTGATTGATTGATGTGGACATTTCATCCATTGACAAGGTCCCTGTTTCTGATCTTTTCTGAACTTTTGTGTTTTTTTTTTTCACACCACCCATATTACATCAAAAGACTGCCCCGAGACTGTTATTGTGAAGTGTAACATCAACAATGCAGTTATTAACAGATTTATAGATCTGGTGAACACCTCTGCTCCATCAGCTACTTGCTAAGTTGATGACCTTGCAAATTATTTTAATGATGAATTAAGACACTCGCCAGATTCAGTTGCTCCTCAGCAAACTAAGAACAAGCACTTAATCTGCAAATCACCATGGAAAGCGGCTGCAGTTCATCATGTTAAAAGAAACTGTAGATACGCAGAGAGGCGATGGAGGAAAACCAAACTACATGTTCACTTGGACTGTTTTAAATATAGTTTCAATTTTCAATAATGCAGTCAGGAAAGAAAGACAAGCCCATTTCTCAAAGATTATATCAGATAACCAAAATAAGTGCTTTTTTCCACAATAGACAGTCTTCTCAATCAATCACCAGCTCTTAATCTTAATAACACTTAATCGACTCTAAAATGCAACAAATTTGCCTCATTTTTTAAAGAGAAAGTAGCTTTTATCAGAGCCAGTATTGTAAATGTGGACTGTCAAACTTTCTGGGATCTCCCTGCCCAAGGGCCCTCATCTATAATGTTCTTTAACATGATGTCAGAAGATGCCGTCTGCAAAGTAAAGTCGACTACGTGTGCTTTAGACCCCATCCCAACCAAGCTGTTGGTAGGAAGGAATTAAATCCTGCTTACAAAGCCTCTCTCAATAAACAACACATATAATAAACTCCTCACTTACTTCAGGCATATTTCCCACAGCGTTCAAGACCTCTGTGGTAAAACGTCTTCTCAAAAAATCCAATCTAGATTTCTCAGACTTAAATAATTACAGACCGATTTCAAATCTACCTTTTCTTAGCAAAATTTTAGAGAGAATTGTTTGCTCTCATTGCCTGTCTTACTGACATTAATGTATGGATGGGTAAAAACTTTTTAAAGCTGAATGAAGAAAAAAACTGAGATTATTTTAATTTGACCAAAAGCAGCAAGAGAAAAACTGCACTTAATTTTTGGTGGCCTTTGCAAGCATATTAAAACTGATATTACTAACTTTTAAATTTTAATTCTCATTTTAACAGGGTCATTAAAACATCCTTTTTTCATCTTCGGAAAATTGCTAAGGTCAGACCCTTTTTAAAGCTATAGTGCGTAACTTCTGTCGCCCCCCAGTGGATAATGCGTTATTACAACTAATAAGCCATGTACACAGAGTAACACTTGCCAGTCGCCACACACACCGTACACAGAGTAACACTTGCCTTTGTGGTAGGATCCACTTCTGAACCGTGTCTCCACCATGTTGCTTTCTCTTTCTACCTGCGCTCTACCTCTATGACACTCTCCGCTCTTCCTCCCCCTCCCTTCTTGTTGTGAGGAAGCATTTCCTGTGCGCCAGCGCGGGAATGTCGCCGGTCTACACGCATACTAAAAATGATATATATTGAAAAATACCGCGAGATGTTAGAGGAGCCGATCGGCTTAATCAGCATTGTGTCATCTCCTCTAGTAGTGGCTTGGGTGAAACGGACATTTACAGACCTGTAGAAGTTACGCACTATAGCTTTAACCCAGAAAGATGCCGAAACACACACTCACCCTTTCATTACCAGCAGTTTAGACTACTGCAATTCGCTTTTCACTGGACTACCCAAAAAGTCAATAAGAAAACTACAGCTAGTCCAGAATGCTGCAGCCAGAGTGTTGACTAAAACAAGGAAAATGGATCACATTACCCCACTGCGGAAGTCACTACAATGGCTACCTGTATCTTTTAGAATTGATTTAAAGTTCTTTTACTTGTTTATAAAGCTTTGAATTACCTTGCCCCTCCATACATCAGTGGTTTTCTATCATTTTATGTTCCAGCCAGATCACTAAGGTCCTCCACTGCTTTACTTTTAAATGTGTTACTACTTCTCATGTGTCCCATAAAAGTACTGGTGAGAGCGCTTTCTGTTTTTATGCCCCTTAACTGTGGAATTTTCAATCTCTGGATATTAGAATGGTGAGTTCTCTCTGTATTTTGAAATATAAATTAAAGACCTGTCTTTTTAATCTGGCTTGTAATGTGGAGTAACATTACTGTCTTGATTTTTAAGTTTTAACCATTGGTTTTTACCTTCTGTCATCTCTCCTGTTGATTTTTATTCTGGTTTATTTATTTATTTACTCTCTTCTATCTAGTTTTAGTCATGTTTTTGTTAGTTTGTTCTGTTTTGGTTGGTTTTAATATGTTATTGTTTTGTGTCTGTGTCATTCCAATTTTGCCATGAGAAGTACTTTGGGCTGCATGTTTGTTTGAAAGGTGCTTTACAAATAAAGTTCAGTTGAGTTGAGTTGAGTTGAGTATTAAAATGAACTGCACTGTCAATTGCAACCAGACCAGGCGTCTAATTTAGACATGTGGACATGTTTTGGTGTCTTTACTTTACTCCTTGACAGGTAACTGAACAATTTTGGGTATGAACAAAACAACATCTAAGGATGTCATCTTGGGCTTTTGGAAACACTGATGGGCAAATAATTGTTGACAATGAAAATAATCATCAGTTGCAGCCCAAGTTACGGCTTTGAATCATCTCCTCTACCTGCTTTTCAACGTGTTGGATTGGTGTAGAAATTTCAACCTCTAACCTTTGTTGTCTTTTTATTTTTTCTACAAACATTCAACCCTCTATTTGTGTCTCAGGGCTGGCGTAAGAGAAAAAGTATGAGGATCATTGTATTCAAATGGGCATTCCTTAGAAGTCTTTGAACTCCATGTCACACAAACCTGTGAAAAGCTTATGCATATGCATAAATACTAACAGATTCAAAACAGGACCCATGACAGTCAGACCTGATCCAAATATGTCAGAGAATAATTAGAATTGTTCTAAAATGCAGTGAACCTGAAGAGACACAAACAGACTTAGAACAGTAATACAGTCAGTAGCATGATGTTCCACTATTTAAAAAATCAGCCATGGTGGAATAGAGCAGCACCTTTTCTTCTATGAGATGTTGATGATGCACCATGTGATCACAGCTGATTGACCCGAGATCATATTGTGGTTAAAACATATTAATAAACCGACCTGTAGGGGACCTTGCCAAAACCAGTTGGTGTAGATATAATATTGACCCGACTAGATTTGAATAATTCTTGCTTTTAAGGAGTGATAAAAGCTGAAAGTGTTGTTTTTGCTAACCTCCAGTGGTTTAATCTCTCACCCTGAAGCACTTATGTGGAAGTGAATGATGTGTCAGTATATGGAAACACTGCTGGATGTGGTTACAGGTGCAACAGAACTCACTTATTATCACATCCAACCTGTTTTAGCAGTAAAACGAACTGAAACAGTTCAGCATGCTGTTGAGTTACTCTTTGATACTTCTTGTCAGGTAGTTGAGGTCAATCAACCCACGCCTTTCAATAATGTGCTCTCGAGTGAAGGAACATTAATGCACAGTCTTCTTGAAGTCTTTTCTTTCCCAGCCGGCCGACCGAGCTAATCCTTCTCTCTTTTGTGGTCTTCCTCAGATGGTCAGGTGATTCCACTGGTGGAGCTGTCAGCGAAACAGGTAGCGTTCCACATCCCGTTTGAGGTGGTGGAAAAGGTCTACCCGCCTGTCCCAGAACAACTCCAGCTCCGCATCGCCTACTGGAGCTTCCCTGAGAATGAGGAGGATATCAGGTGAGAGCACTGATTTTTTTTCTTTTCTTTTTACTTAATGTCTTATTAGGGATGTGCTGGTTGGCAATCCTGTGAACTGTTGACAGTTGAATTTTCTGATACCCTGCCAGCTCACCCATTTACTAAGAGAAAAGAGATCTGTTGAAATGTTTGTTTAAAACACAGTAAGCCTCTGTGATAATCATTGAAAAGACAACGCCCTGCACACTGATTCAAAACCGCAAAATCTGGTACGGAGTTGATGTGCGTGTGTGACTCTTTCTAACAATGATGTCTTCCAGTAGGGTTGCAGGTACATATTATGTGTTTGTTAATGTATTGTGCTCTGTTATTTTAAAATAATTAGAACTAAAATATAATAGAGCTGAAGCTCTGTATTTTCATTTTACCAGTCCATTCAGAAATCTGACAGGGTTTCCCCACGTGTTCTCTGAGTAATTAAGCAACTTGGATATTAACTGAACTTCATGATAATGGTGATATTAATCAGCCCAAGCAATTCTGTCCCTAGCCAGTGTTGTGTGGAATATACTCTGAAAGAAACATGTCTTTCCTCCCTCTGTTGACAAAGCTCTATGCACCATGAGAGAAGTTTATGTTATTTGTCCTAGAAGAGTCTAAATAAATTAATGCTTTTATGGCCAGATCAAGCCAATCCAGGCCAGCCATGAATGCTACATGTCCTGTTTGTCATTACGTACAGGCTGATGTCATATTTTTTTGAAAACTAAAATAATTTAGTTTGTTCTCATATCAGCAACAGACAGTACAGAGAATGCACTGTAGTCGGTCTGCAATGATTTTTCAAGAAATGGTTAGAAAAGAAGTATATCTTGCTACAGTTGCAATTGACTTATTTAATTGTCGAGGCTAACACCAGCAACTGCTGTAAAAATATGTTGGAACACCTGATCAGAACATGTCCACAGACAACTCGTGACAAAAAACAGTCCTGTTACAGACAGTTTTAAGAATATGAGATACATTTATAGGAGGGGTGTCCAGAAAGTGGAGACTTGTGTCAGGCTAGGAGGTGAATGAAATGCTGTTTTTTAATGTCTGTCCTTAAGATGAAGTTTCACAAAATCAGTGACAAACATACACAACCCAGACCTGTGTGCCTAAAACAAAGAAATTTGCAACTTTGGCGCGGTGATCCCTGAAAGTGAAAGAAACTCCATTACCTGCCTTTTAACTGAGACCACAAATCTCTGGAAGAAAGCAGACTGTACCAGTTTTCGAACCTTCTCTCACACTCACATTTCTGGCACTACACACACAAATTTCATTGTGTTCACCAGGCTGTCCTGTCTTGCAAGGAATGAAACCAAAATTAAAGCGATAGGAGTCACGGTGTTTGACCGATGAGCAAGAGTTGGTGCACCTCTACTGAACCTCTGAGATTAAATGTGACCGAGGAGTCACTTTCCAGTTACCATCACCATGGCAACCATGGCTACAGCTGGATACATAGGTGATTAAGATGCTTATCAGCTTATTAGTGCATAAGCTTTTTTAGGTCATGCAGTTCAGCTTCCAAATTTGATAGATTTTCAGATATTTCAGGTGATTAGTTTTGTATTTCTGCATTTTCAGCAATACTTTTGAATTAATTTCAGCTCTCAACATTCACACACGTTTTCTGCAGGAAATGCATTTTTTTCTAGTTCCTATTCTACCTTCCGTATGCTTTTGGCATCTAACTACTTTTACATACTTTCAGCCACAAAAGTATTCAAATATCAAAATGTTCAGATCTTTGAAGACATTCCTGCTTTATCTGTTTTGTTTCCATTGTTTGTTTACCAGTCATACATTTTAAAATATTAAGCTTCTTTCAACCTTTTTTTTTTTTTTTTTAGAATGTAAACAACGGAGAGTCTTTAAATCCCCTTAAACCTACTCCACTTTAAATGCTACTGCTTCCACATACTTTTAGCTAGAGACTACATTTAGGCTGTTTCAGTTGAGAAAACTCATTTCTTGTTTGAACTATAAGAATGCACAGTCCTGGGGCGTTGGTGGCTTAGTGGTAGAGCAGGCGCCCCATGTACAAGGCTATTGCCACAGCGGCCCGGGTTCGACTCCAGCCTGTGGCCCTTGGCTGCTTGTCATACCCTCTCTCTCTCTCCCCCTTTTACATTTAACTGTCCTGTCCAGTAAAGGCAAAAAATTCCCAAAAAAATATCTTAAAAAAAAAAAAAAAAAAAAAAAAAATACACAGTCCTCTTATATGATACAGTGGGGATACATGGTTATGTTTATGTTCCTTCATCTTACATCATACATGAGTACACACACCAGCTGCAGAGAGCACATAAGCTGACAACAGCCAAAAATGTAATCTCACCTGTTTTTACTTATGCTATTTACTGCATTATTATTCACTTGTGAGAACTGACAGAACCACCACCAGCTAAAGATGAGGAACCTGCTATCGTTACCTACCTTTTTCTTATAAAAAGAGTTCAGAGAGGTGAAAACAGTCTTTGGCCACACAGGAACTGTATCCAAATTGGAACTGGCTATCAGAACCCAACCCTTTCTTTGCATTTTGTATCGAATTTGTGTAGCCATGGACTTCTCTCTAATTCATCACACACTCATAAAATTATCGTCCTTAGCCACTCTTTTTAGATAGTATGGCTGTCTTAAAAGACACATAGCAGACTTCCAGCATATTGATGGAAGCATACAGTAATTTCATAGACAGAGTAGGATGTCACACACCAACGTACAGCGTCAGATAACAAGTGGAAGAAGAACAAGGCTACCCAGCATCTTTGTTAATATTCTAGCATCATCTTATGTTTTGGAGAAAGAAGATATCTGGAAATGAATTTTTACTTTGAAAAATAAACACAGACAGAACACAGATAGACTCCCGACCTATCCTGGTTGTCCCTGACGTCTCACCCAAGGTATGCTGGGATAAGTCATAACACACCACGCACCCTGAAATGGATAGATTGATAAACAGGACATAAACATGGATATACTTAGTTTTATGATTTACCTACTGATTTAGTTCTCTTTATCTTTCCATTACACCTTTCCTATATCTTTTTCTCTTCCTGTCTCTCTCACCTCTGCTGTCCATTCTTGGTGATTCTTCTGTCTCTCTGTCTGTCACTGTCCTCTTCCTGCTACAGGTTATATTCCTGCCTGGCTAATGGGAGTCCAGATGAATTCCAACGTGGAGAACAGCTCTACAGGATCAGAGCGGTCAAAGACCCCCTGCAGATCGGTGGGTTGAGGTGTACCTCTTACCATACATAGACTCATAGAGACAGCTTTCATTTCTATAGTAAGCGATAAGTGTATACAATATCATTTGCTAGGGCTGCGCCTATTGATTGTTTTTTTCTCGATTAATCTAACAACTAATTTGTCTTAAGAACACTTTTTATCACTCAATTAATATAACAATTAATTTACCCAAAAATAAATATCAAAAACGTGTCTCATTAATATTTAAATAATTGTATTCAATCATTATCTCTTAAAAACAATGATAACAATGACATATTTTAAAATTAGTCTAATTTCCATGTCACCACACTGTGTGTGTGTATGTATATATATATATATATATATATATATTATAATAATAATAATAACAACAACAACAGCATTAATAATAACAACAATAATAATAGTAATAAACTATTATAGACCCTATTTGTCAGCTGCCCGAACAGAAAAATCCTGGACCTCAAAATCAAAAGCATTGCTGTAACACATACATTACTTTAATTACTGTATATCATAGCAGCCCCTCACCTGAACTGGAGAATGAGTATCTTTTTTCAGTACTTGACTTGAAACTTAAAATGATTATGGCATGGATTTGTTTCATCACTGCAGTAATATGCAGTTTAGCTAATCACTGGCAAATGCATTTTTGCATCATTGTGGGCCAGGGAAAATAACTAAAACGATTTACAGACTAGACCAGCAGTCTGAAACATTAGTTTTAAGCTGTTTTCTGACTCGTTCACGGCCATTAAAGTAAACGGAAAATATAAAACGGTTTTAGTAGTTTAGTAATCTTTATTTCGAACATGTAAACAAATAAATAAATAAACAAACAGAAGAAAACAAAACAAGGAAAGCAAAGCAGCATTTGCAACAAGAACAAGTATTAAGCCACTAAATTAGAAAACTAAACTATAAATAAGTAATAATAATATAATATCAAAAATATTACATAAACAAAAAACAAAGACGCACTCAGCAGTTCTGAGTTTACATGTCCGAAAAGGAGTGGGCTGAAGTAAAAACTTAATTAATCCCACCCCTCTTCGTAAGTCAATATAAATTGATTATCTAGCTTCCTTACATATACAGTACAGGCCAAAAGTTTGGACACACCTTCTCATTCAATGCGTTTTCTTTATTTTCATGACTATTTACATTGTAGATTCTCACTGAAGGCATCAAAACTATGAATGAACACATGTGGAGTTATGTACTTAACAAAAAAAGGTGAAATAACTGAAAACATGTTTTATATTCTAGTTTCTTCAAAATAGCCACCCTTTGCTCTGATTACTGCTTTGCACACTCTTGGCATTCTCTCCATGAGCTTCAAGAGGTAGTCACCTGAAATGGTTT